GATGTTGGGCAAATTATAAGCATAGACAAGGACTTTGGGAACAGAATCTCCATTGCATAGGAAATAGTATTGAGAATCCACACGTGGGATCTCATCAAATTAAAAAGCACAGCAGAAACAACAACCAACAGAGAAAAGACAACCTACGGAATAGGAAAAATTTTGCCACCTATTCCTCAGAGAACTAATATCTAGAATATATTTTTAAAAACTCACAAAAATTAGGTATCTAAGAATAAGAGACCCAGCAAAAAAAAAAAAAAAAAAAAAGGACAAGTGAAAAGAATAGACGTTTCACATAAGAAGTACAGATGGCCAATAAAGACAAGAACGGCTCAACAGCACTGGCCATTCGAGAAATGTGAATTAAAACAACACTGAGATTCCATCTGACCCCCAAAGAATAGTCACCATGAAGAAATAAAATAACGAAAGCTGGTGAGACTGTGGGGGGAAAAGGAATCCTTCCACACTGTTAGTGGGATTGTAAACTAGCACAACCATTAAGGAAGTCGATCTGGAGATCCCTCAAAAAACCAAAGCTGGAAATCCCATTTGAGTCAGCTCTTCCCCTCTTAGGTGTCTTCCCCAAAGATTTAAAGCCATCGTATTTCACTGATACATTCATGCCCGTGTTTGTAGCAGTACAACTCATAATACCTAAATCTTGAAAGCTGCTATTTTATCCAACAGATGAATGGGTGAGAAAATGTGGTATTTACACACAATGGAGTACTTCTCTACTGCAAAGAAAGGTAAGTCATTTGTCAGAAAATGGATGCACATTGAGATCATGATGTAAAGTGAATAAATCAGACACACAAGTTTAACTGTTGTGTGGTGTCTCATATGGGAAACCCAAAGTATAAATAGAAAACTAAATAAAATAGGAAGTAAGGAGATAGATCTTTCTCAAGTGGGAATAGATCAAGAGATGGAGACAAGGTAGAGAAAAGAAATAAAAAATAATTAAAATGAGTTATACACGTGTACTAATTCCACAAGGAATACAAACATTGCAAACATACAAATATTTTTAAATTTACTGAGCTAAAATACTGGCAAATTTGTCTAAAGGTCCCAATAGATTTCTGAAACAAAAAAGAAGTTATCACTAGCAGATTTTAAAGAAATTTCGTTCAAAGAAACACTTTAATATCCAAGAAGTGATAACTGTTTCCTTTTCGAGTTTTTAGAGTGCTTCTTATGGTGAAGTCCTTATTTTCTTGAAGCTCTTTATATATTTTTATGACTGAAAGAACCAAACAATTATCACACTTATTCCCAACAAAGAAAATCTATATATGGCACTCAATTGAAGACATCAGTTGAGTAAATCTAGCAGGTGGAATAGAACTGCAACCAGTTGTAAAAATAAGAATATCTTCCAGTTTTTCAGATTTACCATCCTCAATCTGTAAGTCACTTCCAAAACCCCAAAGCTTACCTGTCAGATAATGTGCATACTGTTAAAAAAATAAAACACTAAGGGTATTTGCAGAAACATTCTCAAGTTCATGACAGGATGTTACAGGGTGCTTCTGGATAATACTGAACTTTCCTTAAAACAGCAAAACTTTTTAGACCTTGCATGGAACTTCCAGAATTGGGTTGTTGATACATAATCTTTTCATTTTCCTTTTTAAATTTGGAATCCTAACTGTAGTATCCTTGAAATACCTCTTCTAAACTTGTTGTCTTGCCTTAGTAGATCTTTACTTGGAGCTCCAGGTGACTGGATAATTTAGATGATGACTTTCAAAAAGCAGTCAGTCCTTACTACATTGCTAAAATTGAATAACGTATGAGTTTTTGTTTGTGTTTTGGAGATCCCGACCTCAGGTAATATATTACCTCTACATTCCATATACTCCCAGTTTCCTTCTCACGATCATACTGTGAAACCAGCTAAATGTGTTCTACAAGAACCACAACACTGACAGCACCTTGTTTCCCATTGGTTAGCGTGTGCCTTATGGTCTAGCTCTTCTCCGTAACTACACTGTTTTGAGACAGGATCTCTCTCTATAGTGCAGGCTGGCCTTCTGGCTGAGTTTCTCAGTGTAACTTTGTATACATCACAGCCTCAGTGCTACACAAGCTCTTAATAAGCATTTTTCTTTTTTTCTTTTTTTTGTCTTTTTCCTTTTTATCGGTACTGGGGATCGAACTCACGACCGCCTGCTTGCAAGGCAGGTGCTTATGCCGCTGAGCTAAACCCCCAGCCCAATAAGCATTTTTCTATAGTTCTTTTTTTCAGGAATATGAATTCCAATTCTCAACATCTCATTCTGAAATTTCTGCATATCACACACCTAAAGAAGAACACTCCTTTGTTTACTGCTTAAAGCTATAAAGAGTCTCTACAAAGTAAAGCATTCTCACAAATAAGACTCCGTGATGTACTGTTAAGTTACAATAGGCTCAATAAATTCTTAGCAAGAGGTATATGGTAAGGAGCCTCTATAATAATCAGATGTAGCTATTTGAACATGGTGATATTTCCAACAAAACTGCCAGCAAATTGGAAGATACCCTGTCTGATGCCCACATGAAAAATGTCAACTTCATTTACATTGGGTACAAACCAACCAATTGAAATACCATGATTTTTGCACAGCTCCATCATGATTTTAGAAGCTCCATCACCTCCCTCATGTCTTTTATCAGAAAATCAGAAATTCCTTCTTTGCCTCTGCTAAATTCCATGTGACATGAATAAACAATCATAATGTATGATGAAATTTCAATCTTCACTAGTTTCCTTTTCTCTTTATTTATGAGAGCGATCATCGTGTTTTGCACAAAAACACAAGTAATGTTCTTCTGTGAGTCCATACTCTATTTCCATTCTTTCTGCGAGGTGAGCTGGGCAGTCATGTTATGTTTCCCTTTTTGTCCCTTCCCTCCTTCATCTTGTGTCAACTGCAAGCAACACAACCAATTCAAGTTCTTGTAACTTTTTTTAGTTAAAAAAAATAAGGTTTTAAAAAATAGATAACTCAAAAAACAATAGGAAATATGAAAATGCTAGACCTTTTCATTTTGGGTCTTTTTCTAGCAGTCGTAGACATTCTGACTTAAGAAGGCCTATTTTGGTTGGGGGATGTACCAGGGATCGAACATCTGACCTTGTGCTTACCAGGCAAGCGCTGTGCCACTGAGCTAAATGCCCAGCCCTAGAAGACCTATTTTTAAAAATTGTAATAAAACAGACATCACAAAATTTATCATTTAACTGTACAGCACAGTGACATTAAGTGCTTCCACATTGTGCACCTGTCACCACTGTACAGCTTTAGAACTTTTTATCTTCCCAAATTGAGCAATAACTCCCCATCCTCCACCCCAGCCCTTAGCAACCACCATTCTGCTTTCTGTCTCTATAAATTTGCTATTCTAGGTACATGGAGTAAGTGGAGTCAAACATTGTTTTTCTTTTCGTGACTGGCTTATTTCATTTAACATAATTTCTTCACGATTCATTCACTTTGCAGCGTATGTCAGAATTCCTTGTTTTTAAGACTGAATAATATTCCATGATTTTCTTACTCCCCAGTTTGTTTACTCGCTCACCCACTGATAGGCACTTGCCTTGCTTTCTCTCTTGACCATTATAAATTCTGTGAACCTAGATGCACATGTCCCTGCTTTTAATTCTCTGGGGACTATACCTAAAAATGGAATTGCCCAATCACATGGGAAACCCATTATTAAGTTTTTGAGGGACTGCCATAGTGACGTTTCTGGAGCAGCTGAACCGTTTTACATTCCCACCCGCAGGGCGCAATTACCATAATTTTAAGCCTTAGCTGGATCCATTGATCTAGAGGCAAAACAGACCAGCACAGGATCCTAGGGAGTCCTAGCTCCAAAGAGCCCTACTCAGAGACCGCGTGATTTTCGGCAATGACCACTTTCTAAGATTTTGAAGTTTTTTTATTTTATGTACAAAGAACTAACATGGTTTTTTTCATTGGGTAGACGTTTTGAACAATCCAGTGAAAATCACTCAGTCTATTTTGGTAAATTCTACATCCTTCATACACAGACAGAAGTGCTGATGGCACACATTAAGGGCGTTCTTCGGGATGAGACTGTCGGTTTGAGCCAAGGTGCTAACAGGGAAACCTGATCAGCTTTTCACAGGTAGCTGCAGTAGAGCTGCTGGTGACCTGTTTTGCTTTCAAGGATGCAGCGAGGCAAAAGATGTACAGTAACGCTTTACAAACAATAAAACAAAGTCAAGAAAGCATATAATTTATCCAAGGTCACAGCTTTGATTTGAATCAAATCTGTGATGTCAAAGTCTTGTGCTCCCTTCATTAAACTGTCTCCTTTCATTCCCTATTCCAAAAAAGCTTCTTTTGTGGGGGAGGGGGGGAGGAGGAGGTTTTGATTTTAGAGTAAAATAACAAACTCTTGGAAACTTTTAGAAAAAATATACTTCACACTGCAGAACTCTTCTAAAATGCCGTGTTGTCAGTCAATCCACAAAAGGTGGCAGAGGCAGGTGCGGGGCTTGGAAGCAGGGGTGCCCTTGCGGCCCGAGTACTCGGTGCCAGGCCTGACTTCCTTGCCCTGCAGCCGCCGGTGCACCTTCTTCCCCAGCACCCACTCGCAGGACTCTGTGTCAAGCCAAGGCTGCGATGACCAGCCCACTGCCCACGGGGTGGCCCTAAATCCCGGTGTGTGTGTGTGTGTTGGGGGGTGACCTTCCTTCTGAGGTGGGTGGTTGCAGATGCCCCTTCTGTCTATTGTTTCTTCTTCCCTTCCACGACAGTCCCCTCTCTGGTCACCTTCTTCCTGTGGGGTGCTCTGGGGCCAGGGACGCCTGTGTGCTAGGTGGGCAGGATGTGCAACCCGGCACCCGCCTCACAGCCCATGAGCACTCATGCCCCTGTGGCGGAGCCTGCTCGGGGGCAGACTAGGCCAGAAGCAGGGCCCAGTGAGGCCTGGTCCAGCTCGGGGCACAATGCGCCTGCTGCAGCCCAATTCCCAGCCACCACAGGAAAACAAGGCTGCCCACTGGAGGCAGGCTGATGGTGCTTCTCCAGGGCCGATCTGGCCTCCAGCCCCGGCTGAGGAGCAATGGGATCCTCAGAAGTCCACGGGGCTAGAGGTCTGTATTCCAAAAGATCTTAAACCACATCAAATAACCTGTTATTCCCTGCATTTGCTTATGATGTGTCCCCAAGTCCTCTTGCTCTTGTTACCCTTTTGACCTGAATGCCCTTTATCCCATCCCTTTTTTTTTTAAAGAAAATAAAACCAAACAAAATGAAACTAGAATAAAGCTAATCAAAACAAAACAATGAGAGCGATACAGAACTTCAAAACAAGATAATAGGAAATCAATAATGGCAATTATAATACCTCTTGTTATCTTCAAAATAGCTGCACATACCATCAGACATAAGAGAATCAAACAAAAGAGAACAGAGTAAAACCCATTTTCATGTGCTGACATCTTACAATCAAAAGTTCCCTCTCAACCCATCTCTCCTGATTTCTCCCAAGTAAAGTCAGCATTCTTCTCTGTGTGCTGCCAACCTTCTGTTGGTGTCTCCTTTTGTCAATCAGTGTTCTTAGTGCAAACATCAGAGTCCAATCTAGAGTAGTGTAAATAGAAGGTGATTTATTAAAGGTTATGTGGTAACTCAGTCTTGAGGAAACAAGTGGTTTAGAGGCTGTGTAGCCCCAACTCCAAATCGTACTATCAGGGTCTCCACAGCTACGGCCCCTCAGCGCATACTCTTCCCTGGCGTGGAGGGCAGGTGCTCTGTCCCTGCAGCCTACCTGCCAAAAAGTAAATTTCACAAACTACCTGTCTCCTCACACTGATCATCTCTAGAAAAGAAATCTAGAAAAGAAATACGTCTCATAGGCAGAATCCGAGTCATACGGCCAGTCCCTAGTTTAATTGGAAGGTTGTATGAGCATCTGGTATCCTCCCTGGAGAGGCAGGACTCAGGGTACCAAGTTCTCTACAGAGAAATGGGGTACTTGGCACTCTTCCCCCATCAGGTATCCCAGTGAGCATGACATAGCCTTTAAATCCTCTGTGCAATTTCTGATTCACCACCATGGCATCCAGGGAAGACAGTACAACCTCAAAATCCAATTACTTATGGTCACCAAACATTCAGAGAATTATCCAAAATACTTCGATGTAGGTCCCACACAGCTGCAGCAGATCCATGTGGGCCATGAGGGACAGCCGTGGTGCTGATGGACAAGAGCACCAGGATGTACAAGACCACTCAAGGTCATCCAGGAAACAGCTCAGCTCTTGAGAAAATGTTGCCTCATATCAGGTGGAATGCGGGCTTTAAGTTCCTCGAGAAGTCTCACTGAGATCAGGGACATGCTGCTGTCGGTAGGATGCCAGCTACTAGCTGTGCTGGTGCCATTGCCTCACGTGAAGTCATTACTCCAGCCCAGAACACTGGTCTTGGCCTGCAAAGTTTCCTTTCTTCCTGGCTTTAGATGTCACCTCTAGACTCTCCAGGGTTGCCATGGAAATCCTGTGTGCCATGTAGCAGATAAAGACTGAGACAAGGTGGAAGCTATTGCAGCCACATGCTGACGTCTGCTTGGCTCCTCATCCAGCAGGGTTTCAGCAGCAGCAGCAGCATAACCCTGGAGTTCCTGACACCCCAGAAGAACTGCGAGCTTGCCTCTTGCTGGCATGTCTCTCAGGGTCACCAGTGCTTGTCTGCAGATGTGAACCTCAGTGCTGTGTTGGTCCCTCTTCTGTCATAGTGGGCACGCACAGGTCCTGGATTTATCTCAGCAACCGAGACACCTTCCCGCCTGCTGAGTGGACCATGGCCTTCACGGCCGATGCACCTGTGTTTGTGACTGCTGCTTCTTTCACCACCCCTGCTGCTGTGGTGGCCACAGCCGCGGAGGAAGCCAAGCAGTTGCAGGAGTCAGGCAAGGATGAGGAGTTTGGTCTTTTTGTCTAACCACTTGAAAGCAACCAACTAAGTCATCTTCATTTGTGAGAAAGAAGATTCTAGACAGCCAAGAAACATAAACCACACTCTAGTTTCACTCATTACACACTGGCTTATGCTTATAGTTCACTGTATATATAAAATAGTGTATTAAAGGATTGAAAGGGCTTATCTGGTTGAATACTTTTTTAACAGACTCCAGGAAATGGAATGACTTTTCAAAGGTCATGAAACTGAACAGAACTGGAACTTCTTCACTGGCATCTTTTTTTCCCTCCTTACCTCCATTCTTTCTTCCTTTCCTTCCTCCTTCCCCTTTTTTTTCCTCTTTTGTGCTACTGAAGATTGAACCCAGGGCTTTTGCATTGAGCTCCATTCCCAGGTCTTTTATTATTTTCAATTTTTAAAACAAACTTCCCTGAATAACTCAAATCCATATCCTTGGCTGACTCCCCCAGCTCCTTAGCTTCCGCCTGGCTGGGGCCACAGCAGCCGCACAGGGCTGATGATCCGAGCAGCAGTCACAGATGCAGATGCATCAACCAAGAAGGCCGTGGTCCACTCAGCGAACGGAAAGGTGTCTCAGTCACTGAGAGTCCAGGCTAGACTCAAATTCAAGATCCTCCTGCCTCAGCCTGCTAATGTGTGACCATGCCAGGCTACTTAAATATTTTTGAGAATCTATTAAATCCGAAGTTCTGTTCTAGGCCTTGAAAAAGGGAGCAAGGATAAAAGCCCTGTCCTCATGAAAATTCCCTTGTAGTGGGAGAAATATGCTTTTGAAAGATGTATATGACCAAAACCCCTGTGGCTTGGTGGTGCCCACCAAGTATATGTTTGTGCTCTGAAGAATGATTAGCCAGGGTGATAGACAGAAAATAATGGGCTGAAATTTTGGAGAACATCTCCAGGAACTGTGTGTATTTTTCTTTTTTCTTTTGTTGTATGTATTTTTCAAAGCAGCTCTTTTCTTTTTAAGAAGACATCTCTCAAACTCTTCCCTCCTATTGGGTTTTTAAAACATCTATTCTTTTCATAAGTGAGTAAAGAAATCTCTGTTTCTCACTTCTACGACAAGTCAGATGAGGCCAAGTTGTATTCCTAGATTGTGTCCAGCAGCTGAATAGAGCTTCTGTGCCAATAGCTCGAGTGGAAATTACAGACTTTTTCATTCTTCTGTTCTGGTACTGTGTTACTCGGACCATCTCCCCCTTTCCCACTTCTTCTGCACCAGCATACTGCCCATGCTCCCCCGGGCCAACCACACAGATAAAACTCAATAAATAAATTCCTAAAAGAATTGTTAAATGACAGCTTCCCACTCACTTTTTCTGATCTGGGCAAATCTTCTATCATCTTTCCCTGATGTGATTGTATCTTCAGCAAAAGGAGAATAATTATCTGTGCTGCCTCCTCTGCTTTCCAAAGTTATGGTGAGAACTGTTGCATACATAAAGTGCTTTAGGCTCTGCAGAAAAGATGCTGAGAGATGTGCAAGCTGACAACTAGAGGTATTACTGTAAGTTACAGAAATATTTACTTTTTAAGAAACATTTCCGATTTTATGAGGCATTGTTTTAGCTTTTCATCTATACTCGTGTGCCTTTAATTACATGGGATTATTTTGATCAGAGATTACAAAATTCTAATCCAGCTCACCCCCGTGTCACTCTTCCACAATAAACTGAGCATGGTGGCACATGCTGTAGTCTCAGCTGTCTGGGAGACTGAGGCAGAAGTTTTGCAAGTTCAACCCCAGCCTGTGTGTTTACTAACCCAGCTGTCTGAAAATTGAAAAATTTTAGAAAAAGAGCTGGAATTGTAGCTTAATGAAAAGACCTGGAATCAATCTCCAACACTGTGCACACAAAATTAAATTAAAAAGGACTCTTTTGTGTAGGGTCACTTTTTACAGGAAAGAGCAAGAAACGAACTAGTTGCAAAGTTGTTTGCCATGCGAGTATTACTATTCACTACAGAATCCAGTTGGTATAATTGTTTCAAAACTCACAGAGGAAGGAAAGATAAAATATCTTGGAGGTGAAAAAGCTGTGAATTGAGTTTAATGGGTTGGGCTAAGGTATTTTCCAAGTCTTATATCTGTGATTATAATATGAAGATGTTTCCTCTCCTTTTTTCCTGTTTGTTGTTATATGTAGTTGGTACAAACTGCGTTCTAAGTGGAAGTGACTTGATCTTGAGATGCATGATGTCGGACTGTTCCTGTTTCATTGAACAAGCTCATCCAAACCCAACATTCCATCACTTGTTTTTGTGGCTGATCTCTCTGTATGCCCGCTGGCTAGTTCTTGGCATCTAATTCATTGTCTTGATCCTGTCCACCACCTCTTTATACAATATGTATATCAAGGTTAGAAGGGACCTAGAAAATGTGCAGAGAGCTTGAGAGACTTGTTAGAAGCTTGTGTCTGCCACTTCATCCACAGCCCAACATATTCTGTCATCTACATAATTTTCCAGAATCTTTTTCAGTGAAGTATTCATCACAGTTTGAGTGTTAGAAGCAGTTTCCAACCACTCAAAGATGGCGTGAGCAAAGCAGGGTCCTTATCTGAGGGTGAACATCTGCTGTCTTCCCTACTGAAAGGGACAAATGTTCTGGGTCTCCATCCAAGAGTCTGGTGAACTTACTGCTTTTGATGACAAGTGGTTTGTTTAGCCCTTGTGTGAAGCCAGCCTTGCATAATCATTTTTTAAAAAGAAGGTACAAAATCCCCTTCTTAAATCATTCAAGAGCAGGATGCAAGTATCTTCAGTGTAAGTGAGTGTATCTAGGGAATTGAAAGAGCACCTGGCAAGAAGTGAAGAAATGTGAGTTAAAATCTTACTCCTTGTCTTAGTTACTATTCTTGTTACTAGGACAAAACATCCAACACCTGAAGTGAAAGGGGAAAGGCTTATTTAGCTCACAGTTTGTAGAGGTTTCAGTCCATAATCAGCTGGCTCCAAGAGTGGCAGATGGCAGAGGGGCAATATTTCTTTTTTTTTTTTTTTTGGCTTTTTCCTTTTTATCAGTACCAGGGATCGAACTCAGGACTGCCTGCTTGCAAGGCAGGCGTTTATGCCACTGAGCTAAATCCCCAGCCCCAGAGGGGCAATATTTCATGGCAGCGGAAGACAGCAAAGGCAACAAGTGGTGGAGACAAGCCTATTTCTGCCCCTTTTATTTTATCCAGACTGCTGGGATTAGGGAATCAGTGGACTGATCCATCAACCACCCACCTTTAACCCCAGCACCCTTAGTACTAGCATTACACACTCTATAGTCAACCACCTCTGAAAAAAGGTCTATGACGGATTGGGGCTTGGGGAGGCATCTAGACACAAACCAGAACACTCCTTATGAACTATTAGCTAAATCATGACCTTGCTGGACCCTACATTTCTCATTTTGCTTTTTTTTTTTTTTTTTTTTTTTTTTTACAGATAGAATTGAGGCTTTGGGATGGAGTCCCTTGACTTCCTACTCCCATACCTACAGTTTTACCTCTGTGGGCTATTTTACCTTTTGTCTTCCTGCCTCTTGCTGCTGCCTATGTTTGGTCAGTGCATACCCCCCCCCCCATCTTCCTACAAGTTGGCCCGTGGTTATTCCCTCTCTCTTCTCTGATTTCAGCTGTCTCTCTGCACTCACTGGCTCCACCCCAAGACTTCCTCAGGTTTCTTCAGTCTCAGAACAAACTGGGTTCCCTACTCCAAGTCCTGCACGCTCTTAGGAACAGCACTCCACACCGGTGGGTGTTCGCACTGCTTCCCTGTCCCGTCCTCTGCCGCGGAGGTTTTGTGCTCTGAATCCACTCTGGCAAATGGTCTCTAGGGAAAAGTTTACCCAGGGCCAAATTCAAAACTGTCTTCAATTTCCTATTTATTCTCACTTTGTTTCTGTTTCTCATGATCCTCTGGGTCGGGTGGATCGACTATAATTGTTCTCTACTGTGATATGATCTCATTCTTTCGGGTGATGGCCAGTCCCGTGTGGCCACAAGAAAAGGCCCAGGAGAGGCTCAGGAGAGCAAAGTGTACTATCCTCACAGGTGTTAGTCACAGGACCAGCTGAAGGACCACATGGAGAGATACTGGATGGTCAGGAGGTGGAAGACCGGAACAAGAGCATGGGGAAAGCATCAGGCCAGGGCATTTGTTGGGGTTTCCTGGGGAGAGGTGAGGTAGCAAGGGAGGACACTTTAAGATTGGCTGTTAAGTAGTTTCAGAGGCTCTATGCTGTAGGGACAGTTCGAGTTCCCTAAGACTCGGCCCTGTGGTGACAGACAACTGTTGTCTCTTGGGGTGTAGGTGCCAGGTAGAGAAGGTATGGTTCCAGGTGTTTAATTGCATATCACAGATACACTCTAGGCTGCTCTCTTTGTTTTCTAGGAGGGAGGTACCCTTGGTCTCTTCCAAATCAGAAAAACATTTTTAAGATGTCAGAACATTAATATACAGAAAATCAAACACACACACACACACAGTAGACTTCCATCTGTAGGGCCTTGACTGACTTCATTCCCGTGCTTGCCCTCTACTGCTGGTGTCCCCATGACCCTGACCATACCATCCTTGTGCTGCTTATGCAGTCCTGTACGGCTTTAGTGTCCATCTCTGTGCTGATGACTCAACAGTGGTATCTCCAGCCATTTGTCACATCTGATTCTAGACCCAACAATTCCACTTACTGGAAATTTCCCTGTAGCCGTCCAACAGGCATCTATCTGCAGTACATGTCTACATGTACTGTCATCTTTCTTCCTGAGCCTTTTTCCACTTTTAGGAATGCCTCCTTCTGTCCCCCATGCCAGAAATCTGGCAGACACACTGGATAGAGCCCTCCTCTCTCACCCCACAGCTCCAGGCTCGGTGCAGGTCCTGTGTCTTCACGCCTGGTCGGAGCTTCCATTTCTCAACTCCTCTTCCCTCCTCCTCTCAGTTCTGGCCCCCTCACTCCTCACAGGGTACATAGTGAGAGCCTCTCTCAGGTCTCTGAATTCAGAAGCTTTGCTCCCTCTGAACCCCTTTCCGCCCTGCTAGTAGAGTTATTGTTATGAAGCACACAGAAAAGAATTACTATAACGGGCTGGGGATTTAGCTCAGCGGCGTAAGCACCTGCCTTGCAAGCAGGCGGTCGTGAGTTCGATCCCCGGTACTGATAAAAATGAAAAAGACAAAAAACAAACAAACAAAAAAGAATTATTATAACATAACCACTTCACATGCACCTACCAGCCATCTCGGAGTAGGTTCTTTCTAAAACACAAACTTGATTACATCTATGCCTTGATCCATCCTTTCAGTAATTTCTAGGATATCGTCTAAGCTCCTTTGTACAGAGTGCAGAGCCCATCAATATTTAGCTATTAGGTGTGGTGGCACATGTCTATAATCCCAGCATTCTGGAAAGCTGAGGCAGGAAGGTTCAAGTTAAAGCCCAGCCTGGGTGACTTAGGAAGACTCTGTCTCAAAATATAAAGGAGGATTGGGAATGTAACTCACTGTGAAGGCCCTGAGTTTAATCCCTAGTAATACACACACACACACACACACACACACACACACACACACGCACACACAGACACAAGGCACGCACATAACTATAGGGTTGAGTCTAACTTGGTTGTAGAGCACATGCCTAGCATGCATGAGGAACCATTACTCCGTTCAGTCTCATCTCGTCACTCTTCCTAAATGAACTGAATACACACTCATATCAGACTGTGTGTAAGTTTCCTGGAAGACTTGATGCTGCACTGTACACGTGCTGTTCCTTCTGTTTGCAGTGACTGCCCCACTCTGGTCTACCTAGCAAACTTTATCCGATTATACAATATTCAGATGGCCTTCCATGATTCAGCCCTCATTTGTCCCCACATCCAGGTAGAGCTAATTATTTATTCTTTTATATCACTCACATACTTGGTCACACTTTTATCACGATGAATTGTGCTTTGTTTATACCCACTTAAATTATAAACTCCTTAAGGACAAGGCTGGTCTTTCACTTTAGCAATTAGAAGAGAGCCTAGAAACCTAATATATAACTGATGCTCAGTTCATGTTTGATCATCTGATCCTTGCCTTCCTCTCTAATTTCTTTTCTTTTTTCTTTTTTTTTTTTGTCTTTTTCTTTTTCTCAGTCCTGGGGATCAAACTCACGACCACACACTTGCAAGGCAGGTGCTTATGCTGCTGAGCTAAATCCCCAGCCCCTTCCTCTCTAATTTCCTATTGGACTAATCTTTTTCTACTTCCTCCCATCCTCAGGAGTCACTAACCAACCATATTTATTTAAAGAGTTATCTCACCTCCTTTGCATAGCATACTTATTTCCTGGACACCTGCTTACCAGATAGGCATCCACATTACTTTCATGGACCAGTTTTGCTGCCTGTCTCCCCCACCCCTTACAATAAAGAGCCAAGAGTCTGGGGACCACGTGTGATGTTTATCTCTGCATCTCCAACTCTCAGCACAAGGGCTGAGACACATAAAGCATAAGGGAAACATTTGTGAGCCTATGAATAAAGAATTTAGACTTACCGATTGATAAGGTCTTCTCCAATTCCCCATCTGGATTACTTGAAGTTTCAAAAATTGTGACACAATCTAAAAGTTCCTTTTGAGCAGATGGTCAGAACAGTTGAAGCAGCAATTCTAACAGTTGGCAAATATGAAGGTAAACATTTAAGAAAGTGAGTCAAAATGAAGGTGAATCCTCAAAAAGGATTGGGAACAGAAGCAGAGCTAGTCATAGGCACCCCCTTTGCACCCGAGGGTGGGTTCCATATGTTCCCTCCAGTAACACATGTGCCACTTAAGCTTCCCGGAAAGGTATTTAACAACCTCCCTATGACTAAACCCACTGGCTAGAAATGAGCTGCAAGCACTTCATTCCTCTGCAGCTAAAATGACTTTTTTCCCTTTAGCCGTTTACTTTCTCATTTTGTAAATTAAACACAAAGTTGGATTATTGTTTAACATTTTATTTCTTTTCAGATAGAACTCGAGGGAAAACCCCTAAAGAGACTTAAGATTTGAGCTTACCTATCTTGCACTCCACAAGCATTTTTTTTTTTCTGGTCTTTTTCCTTTTTATTGGTATCGGGGATCAAACTCACAACTGCCTGCTTGCAAGGCAGGTGCTTATGCTGCTGAGCTAAATCCCCAGCCCATCCACAGGCATTTATTAATATCTGTTATATTTCTAGGCTTAGTGTTGGAGAAGTGAGGAGAATTTTTAAAAATGTGTAATACTAATCTTAAGATCTAATTGTAACCTCAGCCTGAAGATAGTTACGATGTAACATATGGATTATATAAAATAGTATATGAAACCTAATGGGTTGCAGGAAAATGTAATTCCAACTGGATAACATAAGTGTAGGGAGACTGAAGAGAGATGGAGAAATCAGAGCAAAGAGAAATTAACCAGCAGAAATGTACTAAGGGCCGGGTTCTCCAACGGGCTTATCCACAAAGCAGACACACCTATGCACATGATGAGTGGATTGCCAGGGGAGACTGGGTGCTTGGGTGTGGATGATGGAGCCTGGCCTTTGTTCCGTTGAATACTGTTCAGAGAAAGACTCCAAATGCTACTCTGCTTCCCTGCAGGCCAACTCACAGAGCTCTGTCCTAGGCCTGTCCCTCCTAAGGGAGCCCCTGTGTCATATTATCCAGATTATTCTTGGAATATGAGCTGTGATTAGACTCACCTGGAGAAATGCACATCTCTGCTCAAATGTCAGCATATTGCCTGGGACACTGTTGAGTGCTGACCCGCACCTCCTCCTCCTCCTCCAAGTCCACCCCTTATCGGGGACCTGCAGGGCTTTTACTCTATGAGATCTTCAACAGTTTTAGGTGGAAGAGGCATCAGCTATAGAGACAGACAACCTAAGTGACTTTGGCTAAGATGTTTTTCTGAAACACAGTTGCCTGATTTTTGAAATGAGATAATGACTATTTTCTGTAGCTTAAAATTAAACTTTCTAAGTTCTTGACTGTAAAAGAAAACTAAGGCACCCTTCCCTGCCTGGTTCAAATAGAAGAGGTTCTAATGCACTTTGTCATAGTCCTGTGAAAACAGCCATGTCACACTGGAACAAGATCATCATTGCTAGTGAGCATTTACTATGATCCAGGGACCAGGCAAAGCTTTATGTTTATGTTACCTTTTTGGATTTTTTTTTAACCCCACCTAGATTGGCAGGTGACTTTCTCAAAGTCACACAAGCAAAGGAGAGAAATGGAATTTGAACTCAGCTCTCTCCAAAGCCCATGGCCTACTTTTTAGGTGATTCAAGGCATCTACAGAACAGTATCACTGGTCCAAGAAATAGGAGCCATACAGGAGGTCAGTCCAGATTGCTCTGTAGTGAGAGCTCAGTGTACAGATATTTTGTGGTACTAACAGAAGCAAGATCCATGTGATTTCATATTAGAAACACCTTAAGCCAGTGATGTCAAGGGTCAAGTTCATAGATATTTTATTTCTGAAGCAAGAGAAAAGCAGCATAAGGGACATAAGTGAGACCAGGAGGCAGGAGGCTCCTGCTGCCGGCCTGTTTTGTACCTCATGGAGGTGTACCTCAAGTTTGGTGCGTTTTGACAGCGCATACAACAGGAGATATCTACAAGGTCCAAAGCATAACACTAGAAGTTCACTGTTTTGTTCCCAGAAACAACTTGTACTGCCACATAATGCAATCATTTTGCTACACAGGAGGCCACCTCACTAGGGCTAAATTCCATATCTTAGGACTTGAAATCCTGCTCTGCCAGCCGGTGGGGCAGTCTCCACTCTCTGTCCTTTGCTGCAGGGCCTAAGAATTTTCCATTTATGACCACTCATTGCTTTCCATAGGCAGATCTGGCCCGGACCTACTATGGACACCCAGACACAAAATTTGCAGTGTACTGCAAAAATTGAAGAATGCAATCCATTTTCATAGCTGGAGGACCATCTCACCCTGAGGTAGAGCTGCAGACATTTTTGTATGATTAAGAACAAAATTTTGTTCAAAAAAGAAGCACTGACAGATGGAAAGAAGACCCATGTCTGCCTAGGTTAGGGACAGGAGAGGGCCAACTATAAATGAGCACCAAGGACTCCTTTTTTTTAACTTGTTATCAGTACCAGGAATCAAACTCACAACCACCTGCTTGCAAGGCGCTTATGACGCTGAGCTAAATCCCCAGCCCGACACCAAGGATTCTTTTGGAGTGACTAAAATGTTCTAAAACGGGGCGTGTGTGTGTGTGTGTGTGTGTGTGTGTGTGTGTGTGTGTCTGCATGAACCCATATATTTACTAAAATGGGTGAGTTTTATGGTATATAAATTTTATCAGAGAGAGAGAGAGAACACAAAAGGGGAAGGAAAGGGAGGACAGGAAAAGAGCTTTGGATCAAGTTCTAACTCAGAGGTCTAACTTCTTGAGGGAACCCCAAGGAAGCTGAGCACAAGACAGAGAAAATTTTGACCTGGAAAACCTCAAGGGCAGGAGTTAGTAATGAAAGTATCTATATCCAGACATCTATCCAGCTATCCAAAGAGGGTTCAAACAATCTAAAAGAAGTCATAGAATAAATACTATAAATCCTAATATACAAAATGGTCATGCAGAAACAGCCAGTTCTCTCCCCTGCCCGCATCACTTTTCTCCAAACTTCTTCCACAGTAAAGGGTTTTGAGGCACTGGTCCGGAGCTGGATTGATTTTAGCAAAGTCAGAAATTAATAACAAGAACTGTAGTTTCTTTCTCTCTGAAATCCTCTAAAATCTATTAAGATTTTTAAATACTTCTCCATAGTAAAAGTCTTTGCATCTAAAGACAATAGCCACCCAGGTGGGGGCCCTCTGCACTACAATTACCATGCTAAAATTTCAAACAAATTCGAATGTTTTGAAAATAACATCAAAGCAAAATAAATAAATAAGCACCCTTAGTGGCCCTGCCCAGGGTCTCCTGTACACTTCTGGCTCTGCACCCACTCACCCCACACTGCTTTCAGAATTCCCAAGGAGAAGGATGGGACTCACCGGTGATCAAAGCAAGGGAGAGGCAGAAAAAAAGAACCAACTGATATCAATCACTCATGATATCCTTAGTAAGCCAGATGCAGATGCAATTTTATTAATTTCAAATGAGAGATGCATCTTCCCTTGGAGTGACCTATCTCCAGTCAATGACCCAGGGTGTACCTCTCCTTCTCTCCTGATTCCCAGGTGCTTCTGGGGCCACACATGCTGGCTTTCCCCCCTCTGCACCCCAGCACAGCCCCTGGGACACAGTCAGTGTTTAATAAATATTTGATAAACTGAATTATATTTTGCTTAGGATAAGGCTTGTTTATCTCAGGCTATCTTTGATCAAATGTGAGCTGGAGATTGTCTCACCCATAAATTCTCTTGGTTAAAAGCTGTTCCAGAGCACCAGCTCCACGCAAAACTGCCCAGCAAGATTGGTGAAGAGGCCATTAGTTTGTATTCTTTTCTTACATGGCTGACTTCATTATAAAGGAAATTCAGCACAGAGAAGCTACCTGGCAAGATGTTACTCCAGTTCATTTTGCACGTCCTCTTTTCCTTTGCATTTGAAATGAATGCGGTGAGGCATGGGCACGACGCCACAGGTAATAATAGTGCCCACAGCCGTAGACGGTCCACTGCCTGTCCCTGAAATAGATTCTCCAGTAGAAAGAACAACAGCGCTGTCATTTACTGCTTTGTATGGGAAACAAGGATCGGAACTGAAGATAAAAACAGATGCATGAGTCAGTGGAGTCCAATTTAACCTTAAGGGTGGTGTGAGACATATCACTAGGTCCATTTTCAGAGAAAATTACATTGTTTGGAGGGAGGAGTCCCATCCGTCTGTCAGAGCCCTGGTGATAATGTCACTGTGCTAAGGGACGTTCTCAGGCCCCATAGGACATGGGCCTCCCCTTCTCTTGGGCCTGCTCACATCATTTGCAGATACCCTAAAACTCTCCCAAAGTACCCTAAAACTCTCCCAAACCCTGCAGGCAGCTCTGTCCCCAGCACCTCAGGCAGGAAGACAGTCTGGCCTGAGGCTAAGATGGCCTTTTGACAAACTTTGGCTGCTGTGACACTGGGCTTTCAGAGGTCAGGATGTGCACATCTCTGCCTGTGGCCCCTTCTCATCCTGCACACTCTCTACTGGGCACCATATCTATTCCCACGATGTCCACTACCAAAGCCTTTGTCCCTTAGCCACTGCATCGGGCGTGACCCCTCCCTCCACCATCACACTCTTTGTCTTCACCTGCTGCCCTGTCCCTTCCTTTGAGCCATTGTTGGGCTGGCATCATCTGTAGGTGTTGAGGGTACCAAAGGTTTTGTTCTTTTCAGGTAAATCTTCCCCTATTTGATTTGCTTATTTTTATTTTTACTATCTTGTAATTGTTGAAAACCTTGAAATCTTAACTGTCAGCTACTATTCTCTTTCTAGCTTTGCATTCTCCTAAGCTTTTCATGATTGTGGTTTTGGCTTCACCTAGGAAATTTTAAAATGTGCATGCCTGGCTGTGTGCCTTACCTGTCTCAGTCACTGTATGTTCTAAATGGTGCTTTGTCTCATTAAAATAAACATCTATCACAGTTCAATTACTGAAGCTCTAAAATGCAGACATGAGGGGAGAGATCATTTAAGTAAGGGATGCTGTATCAACACAACACGGTTTTAAGAAGTTTCTCAAAATGCCTACAAACAACTGTGGATCATTTTTCTGCTGTTATTGCACTTGCTAAATTTCTCCAATCAGAATCCTTTTCTAATGTGGAAAGAAGAGAGGAAGCATGTTATATGGTCAATTCAGCCTTATACAGTTGAAGAGAAGCAGCAATCTACTGTTACTTAATTCTTCCATTTTATGTTTTAAGCATTCAGGTGTGAGACACTGACTCCAGGGCCTAGCGCAGGCTAACCACGTGCTGCACCTCTGACCTATGATTTAACCCCCGTCTCCTTCATTGTGGAGCTCTCTTCTCCCCTCCATACAGCCTGTCTATGGAGATAGTTGAAATTATGATCATTCTTGAAGCCGAAGCCTCTGGTTTATCTGCTTCCCCTTCTTAAAAGAAATTACTTTTTAGGGCCTGGGGATTTAGTTCAGCGGCATAAGCGCCTGCCTTGCAAGTACGCAGTCGTGAGTTTGATTCCTGGTACCGATTAAAAAAAAAAAAAGAAAGAAATTACTGTTTAGACTGTGAGCTTCCTGTGAAATGACCATATTTTATTCATTTTTGTAGTCCCAAAGTTCTTTTTTTTTTGTTTTTTTATCGGTACCAGGGATGGAATTCACGACTGCCTGCTTGCAAGGCAGGCGCTTATGCTGCTGAGCTAAATCCCCAGCCCAGTCCCAAAGTTCTTAATCCAGTATGTGAAGAACAGGTTGAAATATTGGAATACCGTGCAGCGTGCAGCTGTGGAAAGGAAAACTCTTTTGTTGTTGATGATCCTCGGGATATGTTAAGTGGAAAGTGACCAACAGGGCAAAGTATGTGTAGAATACTAGCATTTATATAAAGAAAGGGGAAAAGAATGTAGTAAGAGAAACTAGTTGTCTCTGGAAAGGAACTTGTGTGGCTGGGGAAGAAGGGCAGAAGGGACATTTTCCACTGCATACTCTTCTGTAGCCTTTGAATTTCAAACCCTGTGAATGTTTCAGTGATTAAAATAATTGAAATGTAAATTTAAAAGTGTATTGAGGGGCAGGGGTAGCTCAGTGCAGAGCATGTGCTTAGCATGTGAAGCCTTGGGTTCAGTCCTCAGCAGCACCTGCACGCACGCACACACACACACACACACACACACACACACACGACTAAACTAAAAACGTGTTGGATTTA